CAACCAACACCTGGGTAACACCCTACAATTGCAACCAACACCTGGGTAACACCCTACAATTGCAACCAACACCTGGGCAACACCCTACAATTGCAACCAACACCTGGGCAACACCCTACAATTGCAACCAACACCTGGGTATAACCACCACCTAGGTAACACTCACCACCTGGGCAACCGCCTGCAATTACACTCAACATCTGGATAACGATTGATGATTGAATACTGTAAGTGTAATGTCAAATCAAGTACGCATGGTAAGGTTTCCCTAAACACAGTGGTCTGTAGCCAACAGACGGAGAAGGATAACTCTATCAACAGCATAGCTCTTGGTTAGTGACATTTCGTATATTTCTGAAGAGCAAGTATACTTGGGTATTATTTTTGTCTTCTTTGCGTTCTCTGCGTCGATTCGTCAACACATTTCACAAAGCGACGGGTATTTAAGACCGCGTATGACCCATTTCAATGAATCAGAATCATGCCTGAGATATGACTGCATCAACCCGGTCTTCCACGTGTGAGTCTGTCCTAGATATCCAACAGACACGTGAAGGGTGAACAGTACGCCAGTGTGCACAAGCGAGTACAGATCCTATTATGAAATACAAACATAAGAACTTGGCTACATATATGAGCGTATACGTATGTGTGTGTGCTTATAAAACACATATATTTACATATATCCTAATACTGAAATGGCACATCGATTTCGTGTGTGTGCAAGTGTGTATGTACGTTTGCATACATGTCCATATATATATTATGTATGTCTATACAAAATTGTATATATAAATATAGATATATATATATATATATGTGTGTGTGTGTGTGTTTATGTGTGTATGTATATATATATACATACATATAAATATTTATTTGTATATATATATATATATATTTACTAAACGCTCCCCGATTTTGACTGCATATTTTGGTGACCCAATTACCGTATTCATCACACTGCGTTCTTTTTAGATCAAGTTTTTAAACTAAAAATCAAAATTAGGTATATATTTATTTTGCTTACCATAATGAAGAGACCTACTACTACTCCGGTACCTGAGGTGGGCAAGCAGGTTTGTCAGCGACTGTGGAACCGACTCCTTGGAATTCATCGTTCACAGGCCTTTTAATCTGCGCTAAGGTGGAGACAGCAATATTTATAAATCTGACACTTGAGGATGACACCTAAGGCAGAAATCTACGTTTTGTCGCTGGCCCGTTTAGTTGCTGAGGCCCAACAATCGATCTCTACGTTGGACAAGGCCAAACAACATTCTAAGTGGATTTAACTGATCGGTGTGGCCACTTGGGAATGTTGACCTTTGTCCGCGTGATCGTCACAGTTGATCAGTAAGCTTTTATAAGTTTGTAGCTATAGAGCATGAGGGTTAGAGTTGCATGGATGAGATGGTCATCGAGAACGACACTGTCAACGAGACAAGAAAGTGTATATGAACAAAGTACTCATACAGACTAAACGTAACTATTTGCCACCGCACAAAAAGTAAAAATACAGAATCAATAAATCCCACAACCTTGTGGTTTACTTGCGTGGTCAGAATGTTGATTTTATACGACAGAACTATACAACCGTCCTTACTATCACGAACATTGCATACTTGTCAAATATGGTAGATGGACACCATGAAAAGTTCAACAGGAAGAACAAGGTGAATTCGATCTATGAGTGTTCTGATTTCACAAAACTCAAATGCGTCTGGAGGCCATAGGTTGAAGCTGGAAGATGTTCTCAAAGCCGCTAAGGTGCTGGGCGCTACTGTCAAACTTGAGGGTGGATTTAAAGATCCTCTTGGGCTCCCTTACTATGTACTGTGAATACCTACTTCCGTTAACAAGCAGTCACCAAGGCCAGCCGAGAATCGATGTATGATGTGCGGAAGTAGAGAGCTGATTGCCCCGCTCGATATGAGGCAATCGAACAAACCGCAAGCAAACGAGATATTTACGAGCCCTTCGATATATCACTCTACGCCTTAATTATGTCTCAGCATCGACCATATTTATATGACCGGCTGTACATTAGTGTAAATATTGTACTATATTCGAAAAGCCATGACAATAACATCCCGCCACGGTAATCGGCTCGGAAGTTGCCGACGGATGCTAACGAACCTTGTGAGGAAAAGATGTGGAGGGCGACTACAGAATGTTATAAACAGTTGAAACAGTTCCGTACACGACAAATCAAGCGCAATACTGAAAGATAGATAGAGTCTTGTGTGGAAAAGAAGGGCGTGTATATGAAGAATTTGTTCTAGGTACTGACAGGTGATTGTTTTGGATTGTACAAGATACCGGACTATATGACGACATTCGAGCTCATATGAAGGTGGAGTCGATGATTATTTGCCTTTGCAGATCGTGCTGGACAACAGACGTGCACGAGCAAACAGGTATGATGAATTTTAACAAGCACACCTTAATACGCTTACATGATCAGGTATGTCACCATCACGTTTTCACAAATATGCGAATATTATATATACTTGATACAATGTGACGAGAATACATATGCATAATGATCGGTTGCTGTATAATTCATTGCTACAAGCGAGTGCAAATGAGCGACGCCATGGGGCCGCCTTGCATATGACAGATGTCGTGTCTATCAGAGATCTGCGAGATAAACCCTAAAGCAAGTGAATACCCTAATGAATGCTGAACACAATCGAACCATTTTAACAAACCTTTCAACTGGAATGTACCATCATTGAAATGGATTCGGTTACAACTTGTACCATTGAATCCATTCGCAGAGAAAAGTCACACTACGTGATCATATATTCAAGGGACCAGAACCATAAGCTCGTCTCTATTCCTT